ATTTCATTTTATATTTTAACTAACACTTTTCATTCTGCAGAATCTCAGCAGAACACCGAACCAGTGGTCAATCGCAGCTCGAGCAGTGCATCAGGTGAACAACAGCTAAATCGTCGAAGAGGAGCTAAAAGCCACAAGTGTCAGCAGTGCGACAAAAGCTTTGATCGTCCATCTCATCTCAATCGACACCAGCTGGTGCACACTGGCATTAAAGCGCACAAATGCCCAACATGCTCCAAATCATTTAAGGAGAAGGGTGATCTCAAGAAACACCAGCTTGTTCACACTGGCATTAAAGCGCACAAATGCCCAACATGCTCCGAATCGTTTGTGTATAAGAGTGTTCTCACAACACACCAACTAGTGCACACTGGTATTAAAGCCTACCAGTGCCCAACATGCTCCAAGTCATTTGGGCAGAAGACTACTCTCAATCGACACCAGCTTGTTCACACTGGCATTAAAGCGCACAAGTGCAATATTTGCTCTAAAACATTTGGGCGAAAGTCTAATCTCACTGAACACCAATCAGTTCACAGCGACTCTCGACCATTTCAGTGCTCCATTTGTGAGAAAACGTTCAAATGGAAAGGTGATCTCAAAAAACATCTTCAGCAAGTGCATCATTAGGAACACTTCCACTGTCGACTTTATTTAGCAGTCTCTTTTTCTTTCTTTCTATTTCTATACCCTTTTCTTTTGCTGTCGCCCACCTGTAAATAAATAACTTAAAACTAACAATTTGGTTATCAACTTAATCATCTTCTGGCATTGCCATTGACCAATGGCCTTTTTAGCTAGGATTCCAGTCGTAGGAGTGTAAAAAAAGAACTCAGAATCATTTCAGTCAGAAGTCCTGTGGTGCAGGAGTGTACGAAAAAGAGTTCTGACGGGTTGAGACACCTGGAAAAAAGCCAAAAAGGATGGGTTTTATCATATATTTTTTTAACAAAATCGAAACCGGAAGTAAAAAGTTTCAAAACAGAAGTTCTGTTTCCGGAATAGCTACATTTTTTTAAATGTTAGAAATAAACTTTCCGTTTGTGAAAACTATTTACTAGATGTCTAAAAAGCAATAAAACATTTTTTATAGCAATTTAAAAACATTGTTAAAACTAATTAAATTAAATTTTCAGTCAGTTTTAATTAATTATTTTTTTAAATTGTAAAATTTTTATTAAATTTAAGAAAACTTATTTTTTATATAACAGAAGCACCTTTATAATTAATTTTACTAGTTATATTTTGCTCAAAATTATTACAAAAAATTTTGTACAATTTTTGTGAAAATAAACTTTTTTTGACCGGAACCGGAAACTCCAGAACAGTGAAAAATAAACAAAAATAGCCATTTTACTCAGCTTAGCATTACCTTTTCAACGATACCAAACTTGGCAATATGTTCAGCAAGGGTGTAAGAAAAAAATTAAAAAAAATTGAAAAAAAAAATTATAAAAAATGATTTTTAAAGTCTCAAATGGACTTAAAAGAATCCTGGTACTCTGGAACACCTGGAAATGACCCAAAAAAGCCAAAAAAGTGGGCGCAGCGGAGAATTGAACTCCGGACCTGTTTTTAAAACCTGTTTNGTGGGCGCAGCGGAGAATTGAACTCCGGACCTGTTTTTAAAACCTGTTTTTAAAACTAGATTTTTTAAAATGTTTCAATTACAATGGTGTAATCAAATCCTCAAAGTACGAACCTGCCAGGAACAGTTTGTTTTTGAGCGAAAGCAGAAAAATACTTTTTCAGCAAACATTGTGTATTTTGATTGTTCTAGAACAGGAACTGACTAATTTTTTGAAGTTGACAAAAAAAATGTCCACATTATTTTAACAAAGTAAAAAAATATTTAAAATTTAACTTTTTGTTACTAAACAAATAAATTCCAAATCAGTAATTTTTAAAATGGCTCTCACCTGCCACTTGGGGGCCATCTGCCGGAGTACTGGCCAACTGCACTATTCAATAGCTGCTGATCAGCGTTTGCATTAAAGGTGCGCTTGCGCCTTCTCCCTCAGCGGTTGCGGGACATTGGTCTAGTGGTATGATACTCGCTTAGGGAGTCTTCTTAAA